CTGACCCAGGGATCAAGCTCGCACCTCCTGCATTGGCAGGCAAATTCTTTACTGTCTGAACCACCAGAAAAACCCTGTGGGTGGTGGCTGCAGCTGTGAAATTAAAAGTCACTTGCTCCTTGGAAGAAAAGCTATGATAAACCTTGACAGCATACTAGAAAGCAGAGATGTGACTTTGCCAACAAAGGTCTGCATAGTCAAAGCTATGGTGCTTCCAGTAGTCACGTATGGATGTGAGAGTTAGATCATAAAGAAGGCTGAGCACCGAAGAACTGATGCTTTAGAACTGTGATGCTGGAGAAGACTCTTGAGAGTACCTTGGACAGCAAGATCAAACCAGTCAATCCTAAAGGAAATCAACCCTGAATATTCATTGGAAGGACTGATGCTGAAGCTGAAGCTCCAGTACTTTGGCTACCTGATGCAAAGAGCTAACTCACTGGAAAGGACCCTGATGTTGGGAAAGATTGAGGGCAGGTAGAGAAGGGGATGACAGAGGATGAGATGGTTGGCTGGCATCACCGACTCAATGGACATGAGTTTGACCAAACTCTGGGAGATAGTGAAGGATAGGGAAGCCTGGCATGCTGCCATCCATGGGGTCACAAAGAGTCAGGCACAACTGAGTGACTGAACAACAACAACACAGTATTTCATTCTGGACAGAGAGGGGGCAGGGGTACACAGTCTTCGGGCACAGGTTTTGAGTCCACTGGAACCACTGGCTCTCACCCCATCCAGCTCTCCTCTGTGGCAGAGCTCAGGTGGGTCTAAGAATCCCACCCCAGCCCCTCCTGCAGCAGGAAACTGGAGGCAGGCAGAGAAGAGGAGACAGAGCAGAACACAGCATGAGCCGTCCTGTGAGACATTTTAGTGCCACCTGTTTCAGCTGACGTGAGTGCACCCCTGTCTCCCACAGCCCCTTTCTGGATCTGCATTCAGAAAAGATGCACTTTCTCCTCTTCCCAGGAGCTGAGAGGTGGGGGCTGGGCAGCCTCCTCCTGATAAAGACAAGAAAACCGCCTGAGGTCCAGTCCTCTGATGACGTCTCCCTGTGGATTCCATTCTCCTGCTCTCTCTTCTTCTTCAGTAAAGTTGCTGAGGTCCTTGCAGATCGGCATTTGTTGCGTTCCTAGGAACAGTCAGATCAGGGCATCAGAGGTGGGGCATGGCAGTTGTTGTTAATAAGAGAGCCTCTGATCAAGACAGCTTAAACTGCAAACCCTCCCAAAGCAGTCGAGAAAGGCAGGAAAAACCAAACAACCACTTGCCATATTAAAGCAGCTTGTTTATATCCTGCCAAAGTAGCAAAAAAAATAATTTTTGTGTTTTGTCAGACGGTTACTGGAAGGCGTGGGGTGGGTCTGACCGCTCGATGCCCAAAAGCCAATAAACAGGCCAGGTTGGTGGAAAGGAAAGTTTGCTTTATTTCAGATGCCAGCAACTTGGGGGTAAGGGCAGACATCTGTCCAAAAGCCAACTCCCCCCACAGAGTTTTTATAGTCTGGGGTTGGGGAGGGGGGGCGGGCTTCATGCAGAACAGCACAGTCTGATAGTCATCGTCAGATTGGTCACTGGTGGCCTGACCAGTGTCATCTTGATTGTTTTAGGTACAGTTAATCTTCATTTCCAGGGTCCTTTGTTCCCAATTCTTGGATTTGTGGCAGCTATGTCCTCTGTACAGTCTTTTCATCATGTAGTTAACTTCTCCCATCTGGTGTTTTAGTATCTATAAGACAGCTCACAGGATACAGCTGAGAATATTATCTATAGCCCTTGACAAGAAACTAAAGGTCCTTGACTGTGCTTAACAACTGCATCATTATCATTTGGTCTCCTTTGACTGTTTCCCTTTGTTTCTGCATTTCTCGTTTCTCTGATGAAACTTATTCTTTGACTAAAGTTTTCCACAGACAAAGGGGAGTCAGAGGACCTGCTGGGGAAGGGACCATAGGTCCTGCTCTGTTTCAGGAGTTTGAGTCAATGGTAGACTGGAACCAACAGATTATTTAAGGAAAAGCAGACCCATTCCTGAAAAACCTACCTAAACAGGTTGGCAAATGTGCAGGTTTTGGAATCTACACTTCCCTTACAACTCACAGGCAGGAACTGTACTGGCTTTCTCGATTTTGTGGATTTGATTTAAAAAAGAAGAAGAAGAATAAAAGAGCCTCTGGGGAGAGGTGACTCACGAGGGCAAGAGCCAGGGCTCAAGGTCTGATTGCCCCTTCCTCTAGGAGGAAGAAGAGGAGGGTGAAGTTTCAGTTTCACTGCAACAAACATCAGCATCCCTTAGGAGCTGCCTGGGTTTGGCAGGGGAAGAGGGATAGCTGCACAGTTTCCATCCTCTGTCACTCAAGGGCCCCAGAAGAATTCCGCTTGAGACGTGTGGCCTCCAGGGCTTCGTCCCAACGTCCTGCAATTCTGAGCACTCCCCAACCCCCATCATTTATTCCAGATGTTGTGGACTCGCCATCTGTAGAGAAGTCTCGAAGAAGGAAATCAAGGAGGAATTTTCCACTTCCTGAACTTGGCACACACACACCCCTGGATACGGGATAAATGAACCACACACGCAAGCGTGGAAGGAAAGTTTATAACTGTGAAGTGGGATGGAGCGCTGGGAAAAGGTCAGCTGCCTGGGGCCAGCAGGAAGCCTCTGAGTCACTGTGGGGGCAGGGGGATGCAGGGGGTGCCAGGAGGCACTGAGGGACCGGCCCCGCCACCCACTCCCTGTTGTTCAGACAGCTCCTCATCCGACCTGGGAGCGTGCCAAGCACTCTCACGGGTGTATCTGCATCTCAGTCTTTGGGGGAAAGACCAGCTCTCTCTGGACCCTTTGTCTGACATGACTCAGCCTTGAGGCTGCCCTTTCTCAGGGACAGATGCATGGTGTTCGAGGGGAGAGACCAAAGGAAGTGGGTTTTGTGGGCAACTCAGTCATTATAGGAACGAAACAGAAGTTAGAGGGGCATAGCACCTGCATGTCACCTTGACTCTGACCTCTTCACCTCTCACTGTAAGGGAGCAGGACCCCCTGGGGCCTTCCCGTGTCCTCTGCTTGACTTCCCGCTGAAGCACCTGGATGACAGTATTTGGTGCATGTTTCCTGAGGTTTTCTGGTAGATAAAATAAAACCCTCCCTCTTCAACAAATGGAAAATGTTAACTACTTGACAACTGTGAGCACACAGCCCCAGGCCTCTTGGAGCCTAAGGACTGATGGCGTTTTGTTTTTAAATATTTATTTTTCTGCTCCAGGTTTTAAGTTGCAGTGGCACAAGGAATCCAGTTCCCTGACCACAGATTGAACCCTGGGCCCCCAGGCCTGGGACTGACGATGTTTGTCCCTGTGACATTACCTGCTACCTCAGCATCAGCCAACCAGGGTCATGCTTGAGCTTATCACACATCTGTGACCCTCCTTTCTCCTCGGGCTTTTAAAAGGGTTTTGTTGAAACCCTCAGGGAGTTCGGGGCGTCTTAGGGCACGAGGCACCCATTCTCCTTGCATGGCCCTGAAATAAACCTTTCTCCGGCCCAACCTCCAAAGTTTCCATTTGTTTGACCCCACTGTGCACCAGGGAACTTGTCTTAACATCACCCCTACCTCCAGGCCAGCCTCTGTCCCCTAAGGTTTGCCCAGGTGACATGGGGCCCACCCCCAAGGACAGGGACACAGCTCCTTTCACCTCACCAAGCCCAGCTGCTGAAATGAGCAAACGAACCAGTGGTGGCCTTCAGCTCTCCTACACCCTGCCTCTTTGTCCACTTCCTTGACACTTAAACCTTCTGTTCTATGCACATTGAGCGTGAGCCCGTGTCAGCTGAGTTGCTTCTCTGGTGTTGCTTCTCAGTGTTCAAGAATCCATCCGCAAGGCAGGGTTCATTCAATCCCTGAGTCAGGGAGAACCCCTGGAGTAGCAAATGGAAACCCACTCCAGTATCTTACCAGGGAAATCCCTTAGACTGAGGTGCTTGGAGGCTACAGTCCCTGGAGTCGCAAAGAGTCGACACGACCGAGCGACTACATACAGCCGCACTCACGCCTTGTCAGCTGACAAATGAATGTTCTCAGCCTTTACCGGCCAGCCTACATTTCAGTAACAAAGCCAGTCTAACTCAATTATTTGTCTTTTCACCTTATTGCTTTCCTACAATTTCATTTAAAAATGAGTAGAAATTAAAAATGAAGGTGCTGCAACTGCTAGTAATAAGATCAAGAATGATTTGAGAATTCTTGGGTATTCACAATGGCAAATATGTCACTTGTGGTTTACACTTTGTGATCTTTAGCAGCTTAGAGATGTGCTCAGTTGCTGAGATAAAATAGTAAAGGATGCCCCCAAACCAGTGAAAATGCACATGTTAAGGACCGCCCACAGACCGACCCCCTCCAGCCTCTATGATGCTTCTTTAGGGCCACACTCTAGTCTGCTTGGCTGCCGTAACAAAACTATAGACTGGGAGGCTTATGAGCAATAGAAATTCATTTCTCAGTGTTCCAGAGGCTGGGAGTCTGAGACCCAGGGGCCAGCATGGCCGGGTTGGGGGTCCCCTTTCCAGATGGCAGATTTCTCACATGGCAGAAGGGGCAAGGGAGCTGTCTGGGGTCTCTTTTATAAGAGCACTGATTCTACCCCCCAAGGCTCCTTTCTCAGGACCCAGTCACCTCTCAAAGGCCCCACCTCCTAAAAGTATGATGCCAGGAGTTGTTGCTGCTTATCAATCGCTCAGTCATGTCCGAGTCTTTGCAAGCCCATGGACTGCAACATGCCAGGCTTCCCTGTCCTTCACTGTCTCCTGGAGTTTACTCAAACTCATGTCCATTGAGTCGGTGGTGCCATCCAACTTTCTCATCCTCTGTCGTCCCCTTCTCCTGCCGTCAGTCTTTCCCAGCATCAGGGTCTTTTCCAATGAGTCAGCTCTTCACATTAGGTGGCCAAAGTGTCGGAGCTTCAGCTTCAGCATCAGTCCTTCCAATGAATATTCAGGGTTGGTTTCCTTGAGGACTGACTGCTTTGATCTCTTTGCAGTCCAAGGGACTCTCCAAGTCTTCTCCAGCACCGCAGTTCAGGTGTTAGCATTCAAATGTGTGACTTCGGGGGACAGGAACTCTCTGAGCATTGCAGCCACCTTTGCAGGCTGCTGTTGTCAACCACAGAATAAGAGCTGGACTGTTTCTCGGCTCCTCCATATCAGGGTTTGACTGATAAGACTTTATAGCTGATTTTAACGTCAATGATCCCTTCTGAGTTGTTCAATCATGAACTGGCCTGTGAAGAAGGCACGCTGGCTGGATGACTCTGTCCGCTCAGAATAGAACTCCGTCATCTTGGTGGGGTGACTGTGTCTACCACGGGTGGCTCAGAATTCTGGCTGCCAGAGGCCCGCTGGGAAAAATAAGGGCGTTAAGACATGTGTTTTGGTTGGACAGGCAAAGCGGGAGGCCCACCAGCAGGGGGCGCTCGTGGGCAACCAGAGTTGGTCCCCACAGGTCTAGGTGACTTCCAAGTTGCTTCCCGTGTCAAGGGGCCCAGAGTGCAGCGTCACAAAACTGTTTATTTGCACGAGAGGAGTAAGGGGCTGAGAGACACAGTCAATGCTCCCTGAGGACAGGGCCCTGGCAGGTCAGGCGTGACCTCTGCCAGCCCTTCCCAAGCCCACAGGGTCCTCCCGTGGGTCTGACCCCCCACGCTCCTGTCTCCAGCCCCGTGGGGGTCACACCATGTGCCAAACCTCCTGACAGCTAAACCATGACTCCCAAACCCTCCATGGCTCCTCCCCGGGGCTCAAAGGCTAATACTCCACGTTCACAAGTCTCATGAGTGCTCCGAGCCAGTCAGTTAATGAGGGCCTCTTGAGAGGTGCTGTCTTCCCCTAAAGTAGCTCTGAGCAAAGGTAGCAGATAAACCCAGGTCTTTCCAGAAGGACACAACAAGAAACAGTAAGCTTCAAGCAAGCAGCCCAGATGCAATGCTTCCTTGTCTAACTGTGCACAACGCTTGGGAAGATATTCTTTCCATCAGGGGAGATGAATCCTGTGCGGGCCTCCCACTTGCCAGCCGTGAGGTCAAAGGGTGTGTGCTTCAGCAGCTGGACAGGAGGAGAAGGTGGCCACCTCTTGGGAGGCATTCGATATCTCACTTTTTTCCAGAACTTGCTCTTTGCACACTGGGACTGTTCTGTGAAGTCCCCACTCCACTGGACAGCCCCATGCTTCTGTCTGATATACTGAATGGACTCTGGCAAGGCCGTGTAGTCCTTGACCTTGCCCAGTTCAATCAGGATGACCTTTATCCCGTGCTGAATGAGGGCACTGTAGACTGCAATCTGTTCTTCTGACAGATTCTTTAATAGGCCAAAGCTCAGCTCGTCGGGATCGATAACGATGATCAATCTTCTGCACAGCCTAATATTTTCGTCGATGACATTGACCACAGCTGGAAATTAAGAAAGAAGACGTAAAACAGCTCACAATAAAGACAGCCCCACAGGGACTTCCCTGGTGGTCCGGTGATTAAGAATCTGCTTTGCAATGCAGGGGACACGGGTTCAATCCCTGGTCGGGGAACTAAGATTCCAAATGCCTGGAGCAACTAGGCCCATGAGCCACAACTAGGGAGTCCATGCACTTTAACAGAAGATCCCAAGTGACCAAATGCAGCAAAATAAATTTTTAAAATAATAGATGAAAAATAAAACAGCCACTGGTTATGAACTACTCAGAACAAGAATCTTATTATGTCTAACCTTTTTTTTTTTTCCAAAGGTTTCTGTCTTTTTTATTTCCCCAAAACAGCATTCCTATGGGAAGTACAGGGCTTCTAGAATTTTCTCCACCTGAATAAATAAATTTTTAGTAAAGAGTTTTTTTTATTGACTAAGATCCATAATATCTAGAGTCCACTGTCTGAATTAACTATTCTGGTGAAAAAGTCTTATTTTCTGTTTTATAGTAAACAATTGGGATCTTTAAAATTTTCTGGATTAATGCAAAACTAGTTAAGCTCATAGTATATAATTTACTTGCATATGTATAAATATCCAGTATTTTTTATAATTCCCATTTTTATCATGTGTAACTTTGTATATCAAAACTTAGCTAAAGGTCTGGTATATATTAGAGGATAAATGCTTTTCATCTCTTAAATAACAGACTTTTAAAGGATAGGACGCATGTACTCAGTTCAAATGTACTAATCTTATTGTGTTTTCCTCTTGTGCTTCATGGGTATTTAAATGACCAGGACTTACAGGACTAACTTGAAACCAAATAATATATTCTGCTGACTTGGGGAAGGGAGATAAACTTGGTGTCTTTTAGAAATAAAGACCAAGTCTTATATCATCCTTATCCTTAGGATATAAGAACAGACTGTAACCTCCCCAAGAGCATATCCTTCTTCTCTTTGGTTTATTTTAATATTTCTAGTGCCTACAACATTGCCTGGCACATGGCAGGGGCTCAATAAATATTTGTTGAAGAAGTGAATGAATGAACCGTTATTGAAACAAGAGCTCTTCTGCATGTTTGTAACAAGCCCTGGATCATACTTTCATTTCTCCATGAAGAAGGATTTCATAACTTGAAAAGATGTGATAAGCTATGGATAGGAGCAGCCTACAAAACCAAGGTACTTAGAAACCTTTTATTTATTTACTTAAGTTTTATTTGACTATTTTTGGCTGTGCTGGGTCTTTGCTGCTGCATGGGTTTTTCTCTATCTGCAGCAAGTGGGGGCTACTGTCTGGTTGCGGGGCACGAGCTCTCCTTTCGGGGGCTTCTCTTATTGTGGAGCATGGGTGCCAGGACACAGGCTCAGTGGTTGTGGCACATGGCCATAGTTGCTCAGTGGCACGCGGGATCTTCCCAGACCAGGGATCCAACCGTGTCTCCTACATTGGTAGGTGGGTTCTTTTGCCACTCAGCCAACAAGGCAGCCCTATTAATTTTTTATCAAGTTACTTAATTATTTGGCTCTGCCAGGTCTTAGTTGTGGCACATCGGATATTTGATATTTGTTCTCAAATGCAGGACTTTTAGTTGAGACAAACTATTTGATCCTAGAGGAAATCAACCCTGAATATTCATTGAAAAGACTGTTGCTGAAGCTGAAGCTCCAATACTCTGGCGGCCTGATGGAAAGAGCCATCTCACTAGAAAAGACCCTGATGCTGGGAAAGATTGAAGGCAAAAGGAGAAGGGGACAGCAGAGGATGAGATGGTTAGACAGCATCACCGACTGAATGGACATGAATTTGAGCAAAGTCCAAAAGATGGTGGGAACAGAGGAGCCTGGCGTGATGCAGCCCATGGGGTCACAGAGTTGAACACAACTCTGTGTTCAACACAATTCAGTATTGACTGAATGACAACAACAAGGAGAAGATTGGAGGTGATTGAAGCTCATAAAAACCAGCTTTAAACATGAATTAATTTACATACTCAAACCAACAGAAAACACTCAGTGATTGGTCTCAAGGATTCCACAGCCAATGACCAGTTGTCTGTTTTGGGTCTTTTGGTCAAGGCTAGGTTTCTGTTCGATCGGCTGGTCATACAAATGGGTCAACCATATCCGTACCCAACCAGGAATCACAGTTATCCTGTTATAGGAATGAACCTAAAGAGAGAAAAGAGATTAGTCCTAACCTCCTCAGCTTGGGAGCTGTGGGCAGAGGAGGTGAGGGGCTACTTGTGGTTCCATGCAGAAGGCAAGCATACTTCCCACCATTTGTGAAGTGAAGGGAAGAAAGAGATCCCTTTCCATTTTCTTTCTTCTT